ATCAATATGGCTTAAGGCGTTGAGCTTTGCCTCAAGACGAAGCTTGGGCTGATCTCTAATTTGCTTCTTGGGTGGAAAGGGAGGGATTAAAACTGGAAAGGGTGTAACCTCCCTCGGTGCAGGAAAGTGCCGTTGTTGTTTCTCTTGGTACAAATCATGAACCCCATACATTCTGAGTTGAGTTCCAGTTTTTGTTATCCATTTGGAACAATGCTGATCTTCAATAAAGAAATTCTGGAGGGCTTCTGTGCAAGGATTAGGATGAGTTAGCCTAAGCATTTTTATACCAATTTGACAGTTAATTTCAGTAACACGATCAACAACGCTCAGAATATTAAGTTCCTTTCTCATATTAAGTATCTTTGTGGTACGAGGGCACCCAAGGATTATCCTCAAGGCTTCGTTCTGCAATTTTTCAAGCCCTCCAAGCTTTCTTTCAGGCATCAAAACAAGCAGAGGTGCAGCATAATCCACCAAAGATCTGATGTATGCAAAGTACATCATTTTGACAATTCTGACATTGGCACCATAGCCTGAGTGATAACCTGCAACAGCCTTGAGAGCTCGGAGCCTCTCTTTATACTGACGACAGTCCGAATACAACAGGACCATACAGTGGCACCTCAAGGCCAAGGTATTTTTTTTTTTTTTTTTTTTTTTTTTTTTTTTTTTTTTTTTGAGATATATACAAGAGTTGTTACATTCTTGTACAGCCACTAGTACGCGTAGCGTTTCGGGCAGTTCCCTGGAATACGATCCCCTGCCGCGAAGAATCGTTTTTTCATCCAAGTACACATTTTACTGTTGCGTTAAACAGAGGCTACAGTTAAGGAATTGCGCCCAGTAAACCCTCCCCGGCCAGGATACGAACCCATGACATAGCGCTCGCGGAACGCCAGGCGAGTGTCTTACCACTACACCACGGAGACTGCGAATCTGCGAATCTGCGAATCACCATTTGAATCTGTTTACATTCAAACCTGCCAAGCTTACTCCCAGCCAAGCTGGGAGCCATCAGACCGTTGCATCTTGCGAACAGCTCCTCCCTGCCTGGGTGGGCGCCGATTTAGTATCTTTGTTTTCTCTGCTGAGATAATTAAACCTAGGTCCTGACATGAGTCTAATACAGAGTTAAGAGTGTTCTGCGTGTTAGCATACCCAGTGGTGTATATCATTATATCATCAGCATAGCTAATGATGTGAACGTTGGGTTTGCTCGGTATAGAGTTTAACAGCGTGTTTATTAAGATATTAAATAATGTAGGACTGAGGACACCACCCTGCGGGGTACCTAGTTCAAAGTCTCTTGTTACACTCCCGTGCCCCTGGAAAAATACAGATGACTTCCTGTTGGATAAGTAACCCCTGGTCCAACAAAGAAGCCGACCACCAATATTCATTCTTGCAAGCTCACTCAAGATAACATGTCTATTTGCAATATCAAAGGCAGACTTAAGATCTAGGAAGGTGGTATATGACTTTTCAGTGTGCAGGGTAAGAAAGGTGGTGATGCAATGATGCACACTCCTTCCGTGCATGAAGCCATATATCTGGGGGGATAGCATGGTTCTTATTCTATGGAGGAGACGGTTTAGGACCATTCTCTCGAATGTTTTGCAAATGCAGCTAGTAAGGAAAATTGGGCGGAAAGCATTCTCTTGATTTGGCTTGGGAATTGGAATGATTATACTGTTGGTCCAAGAGTTAGGAAGCTCCCCAGTAACATAGCTCATATTATACAGCTCAAGCAGGGGATTCCCTGGTACTAAAGGGAGCAGACGCAATATGTCATAAGTGATAATATCTTCACCGGGGGATGTGGCTTTGCCTTTGCTTAGGGCCGCGAGTAATTCAAATTCAGTAAATGGCACGCTGCATTCATCTTCCTTGTGGAGCATGAAGTCAACGAGCCTTTCTCGATCTCCGTAACCAGCATTTAATCTGAACTGTATGTCTGGGGGAAGATTATTGAAGCTAGAGGTGGTTGCCCAAGCATCGACTAACTCGTTTGCTCTGTGTAGAGGGTGAAGGTGTGATACTTGGCCGATCTTATCGCCTTTAATTCTTTTAATATCCTTCCATGCCTGGCTGAGGGGGGGGGGGGGGTTGTGAGACTTGAGACTGTTAACAAAAGTTTCCCAGTTATCTTGCCTGAGCTCTGTCTATATGCTCAAGCAGAGCCAACCATCATTCTTGGTGACTACAATCCTTCTATAAGCTAGTCCAATTCTTCTGGCAGTGTGTTTACTCTTAGTGTTTTTCCTGCCCGAAACGCTTTGCGTAATAGTGGCTTTAGGCATTGTATGTAAAATAAAATAATAAAATAAAAAATAAAATGTTTATTTAGGTAAGGTACATACATACAATAAATTTTTACAAAGATTGGTTGACTTATAGGTAGAGCTAGTACATACAATGCCTAAAGCCACTATTACGCAAAGCGTTTCGGGCACGATAAACTTAAATGACAAGCTTAATACTAATTGAGCATAATGAGTAGAATGAAAACAAGAAATGAAAACATAGATGAAAAAGCAGTACAAATACAATTATGTCGACAAACAGCGCTCTTTAAAGAAAAACAGACATTGGTTGACAATAGAAGGGTAGGGTAGGTTACAGGGAATTTATTAGGTATAGCTTCGTTTTTAACTTAAACTGGTTGAGAGAGGTACAGTCTTTAACATGGTTGGGAAGGTCATTCCACATTCTGGGCCCCTTGATTTGTAGAGCATTTCTAGTTTGATTAAGTCGTACTCTAGGAATATCAAAACTGTATTTATTTCTGGTGTGGTGCTCATGGGTTCTGTTACAACCTTCTATGAAGCTTTTGAGATCAGGATTGGCATTATAGTTTAGCGTTTTATATATGTATAATACACATGAGAGAATGTGCAGTGACTTAATGTCTAACATATTCAGAGATTTGAGTAGGGGTACCGAGTGATGTCTGGGACCAGAGTTGGATATTGTCCTAATAGCAGCTTTGTGTTGAGTAATTAGAGGACGTAAGTGATTTTGTGTAGTAGAGCCCCAAGCACAAATACCATAGTTGAGATATGGATAGATAAGGGAGTAATAGAGAGTCACCAGGGCAGGGCGTGGTACATAATATCTGATCTTAGAAAGAATGCCCACAGTTTTTGAAACTTTTTTTGATATATTTAAAATGTGTCCCTGGAAATTCAGCTTGTGGTCAATGAGAATGCCAAGGAATTTGCCATCTAATTTGTTACAAATTTGGGTATTGTTTATTTTGAGATTTATTTGATTAGAGGATTTATTGCCAAACAGAATATAGAAAGTTTTGTCAATGTTAAGGGTGAGTTTGTTGGCAGTTAGCCAAAGATGGACTTTATTTAGCTCAGTATTTACTGTGGCATTTAGAGCAAAGGGATCAGGACTGGAGTAAATGAAGGTTGTGTCGTCAGCAAATAGAATTGGTTTGAGGTGTTGGGAGGCATTTGGAAGGTCATTAATGTAGATGAGAAAGAGGAGAGGGCCAAGTATGCTGCCCTGGGGAACACCAATGTTGATGGGTAGGGTGGGAGAAATTGTATTATTCACAGAAACATATTGGAGCCTGTCAGTAAGGTAGGATTTGAGGATATTGTAGGGAGTGTCCTCTGACTCCATAATGATATAATTTAAGAAGAAGGTTTTGGTGGTTGACAGTATCAAAAGCTTTACGCAGGTCCACAAATAACCCAACAGGGAACTCATTTTTATCAAGAGCTGTATGAATCGAGTTAAGCATACTAATAAGTGCATCGTTAGTGCTTTTTTTGGGTCTGAAGCCATATTGGCAAGGGCTAAGTATATTGAATTTGGCTAGATATGAGTAAAGCTGCTTATAGATTAGTTTTTCAAAAATTTTTGACAAGTTTGGCAGGATTGATATAGGTCTGTAGTTGTTAACATCTGTGAGATCACCACATTTGTGGACAGGCGTTACTCTCGCTTTTTTTAGAATATGTGGAAAGGTTTGGAGTTCAAGTGACTTGTTGAAGAGCAAAGCAATAGCAGGGGCTAAAGATCTGGAGGCTTTTTTGTAAATTAAAGTTGGTATCTCCTCAAGGGCACCAGACTTGGTTTTAAGGGAAAGGATTATCTCATTGACGTCAGTGGAATTAATAGGCTTTAGGTACAGAGACTGTGGATAGTTACCTGTAAGATAGTCCTTAATGTCAGTACTGGAAGATGGAATATCATTTGCAAGGGATGAACCAATGGAAGAGAAGAACCTATTGAACTCAATAGCAGAATCAGAGGCTGAAAGCTGACCATCGTTATTAGACAGGAGAGTCGGTTTGTTATTTAAAGCCTTCTTTGATCCCAATATTTGTGAAATTGTGCTCCAAGTTTGTTTAATGTTGCACTTTATTTGGGTAAATTTATCTTCGTAGTATTTAGTTTTGGCTCGTCTAATTATCTTAGATAGCAATAATGAGTAATTCTTTGAGAATTCTTTGGAGACAATTCCTAACCTATACTTCTTCTCAAGGTCATGTTTTTTATTAATAGATTTAAGTATTCCCTTTGTAAGCCAGGGATTGTTAAGCCTTTTGGTTGTGACTTATTTTGTAAGCATAGGACAGTGGGTATTATAAAGGCTGAGAGTTTTTTGAAGAAAAGATTGCACTGCTAGGTTGATGTCCTCTTTGTTACCTAACTCGGACTCCCAGTTGACATTATCAGCAGCAGTTATAAAATTGTCTATATCAGTTTCATTGTGCAGTCTAAAACGTCTCTCTCTTGACTCAAGAGGTGGTTTGCTAATGTTAGTTAAGAGAAATGTGGGGTAATGGTCTGTAGTGCTATCGGTGATTATACCTGAAGTAAATACTAGCTCTATCTATAAATCCATCAACTTTTGTATCTTACCTTGTATGTATGTACTTTACCTGAATAAATATTTGTATTTGTATTTGTACATATACGAATATAATTCGTATACATAATGTTACCCCGCAAAACAAAATGTAACAAGTATAGTTTGAGCGGGAAACTGTTACAGGTTTGTTGTGGAGGGTGACTGGCCTGTGTTACAGAGTAGACTGTTGACTGTGTCATCCCTCAACATGCCCAGGAACCCCTCCAAGAGGAGGCACTCCACCAAGGAAGAGCAAGAGGAAGCCGCTCCACAAAGTCAGCCAAAATGTCGCCAGAGTGTTATGTTCATGAAAGGCAAGCGCTGTTAATGGTAGTGGTAGGACCCCTAGTCATGCTCGCAGGCTCATCCACCAGAGGTGGTGATCTTGTACCAGAAACTTAGTCAAATATCCCCAGTTTTGCTAACTGTTGGTAGTAAATGTGGGTAATAGTAACCCTATCCACCTCTGTCCGCTGGATAGGGCGGTGTGCAGAATTTCCCTAAATTTAACCGAGTACCACTAACACTTGTGGCCTCTACGAGGACAGGAAGCCCGCGGCTTGTCGGAGGTCCCCCTATTTGCCTTGATTTTTTTCTAGCTGTACTCTAAAAGTTAACAGTTGGCATTTACGGCTTCGGCGGGTAGGCGGTTCCGTGGGTTAATAACCTTATAGGTGAAAAAGCAGGTCCTGTTATTGTTAGTGCAGTGTGGTTTATTTAGCTTGAAACCGTTGCTCCATGTTCGTGTTACATTTAACCTTTTGAAGAAATTTTCTGGATCAACATTCTCCAAATTGTTCAGTATTTTAAGTTTCAATGAGATGTGCTCTTTCATGCCTGGTTTGCAGTGTTGTTAGCCCTGTGGCCCTCAAACATTCGTGATACTGGAGATGACTTGGCTCTGGAATGACTATTGTTGCCAGGTGTTGCACCTTCTCCAAGGCAGCTGTGTCCTTCTGAAAGAGGTCTCCATGCTTGGATACAGTAATCCAAATGGGACGCACCACAGATTTTATACACACCCGAGGGGGTGGACCAGCATACAGTTGAATAACTACCTTCTTTCCCATAAAGTTAAAAGTATGCTTAATTATTCCTAGTATTTGGTTAGCTTTTATGACTGCTGCTCCTACCTGTTGTGCAACTTTCAGTGACTGTTATATTTTGACTCCAGTGTTCTTTTCTTCATCAATCTGCTGCAAGGTAATGTTATTAATTTGGTAGTTGTGACAAGGGTTGTGTTAAACCACATGCAAAGTCTTCCATTTTTCGATTATTAAAAAGCATTTTCCAGTGTTCTGAGCATTTGTGGAGTTCATGTAGATATCTTTGTAAGGCTTTAATATCAGGTAAAAATATCATGTAGATATCTTTGTAAGGCTTTAATAATCAGGGAAAAAATTGGCTAAATTTTTATTTCCCACTTTACCATAACTCTTCATGCCATCTGCAATGTTGATGAGATGGTGTGCATACTGTATTCTCATCTTTGTCATTGATGTATAAGACAAAAATGTTGGCCTCAAAATGGATCCCTATGGTACTCCTCTCACCACACTTCTCCAGTCAGATTCATTCCCATTTAGCACGAATCTGTTTTGTTTTAACCATTGTTTTATCCATACTAGTATTCTACCATTTATTCCACGTGCCTATAATTTCCTTGTTGTTTCATGTGGTACCCTATCAAAAGCTTTAGCAAAATCCATGTACAGGTATATTACATCCACAGGAAGTCCTTTGAGTAGCTTTTTACCATTTCCAAAAACGTGAGGAGGTTTGTAAGCCAGGATCTATTTTTAACAAAACTATGTTGCATCGATTTTACAAGATTGTTTGCTGTGAGATGGTGAATGATTCCTTCCCTAAGGATTCTCTCCATGAGCTTGGAGATGTGCGATGCCAAGTTTATCGGATGGTAGCTTTTTTTTATTTTAAAGTTTCAAAAACTGTGGGCATTCTTTCTAAGATCAGATATTATGTACCACGCCCTGCCCTGGTGACTCTCTATTACTCCCTTATCTATCCATATCTCAACTATGGTATTTGTGCTTGGGGCTCTACTACCCAAAATCACTTACGTCCTCTAATTACTCAACACAAAGCTGCTATTAGGACAATATCCAATTCTGGCCCCAGACATCACTCGGTACCCCTACTTAAATCTCTGAATATGTTAGACATTAAGTCACTGCACATTCTCTCATGTGTATTATACATATATAAAACGCTAAACTATAATGCCAATCCTGATCTCAAAAGCTTCATAGAAGGTTGTATCAGAACCCATGAGCATCACACCAGAAATAAATAGAGTTTTGATATTCCTAGAGTACGACTTAATCAAACTAGAAATGCTCTACAAATCAAGGGGCCCAGAATGTGGAATGACCTTCCCAACCATGTTAAAGACTGTACCTCTCTCAACCAGTTTAAGTTAAAAGCGAAGCTATACCTAATAAATTCCCTGTAACCTACCTTACCCTTCTATTGTCAACCAATGTCTGTTTTTTTCTTTAAAGAGCGCTGTTTGTCGACATAATTGTATTTGTGCTGCTTTTTCATCTATGTTTTCATTTCTTGTTTTCATTCTACTCATTATGCTCAATTAGTATTAAGCTTGTCATTTAAGTTTATCATGCCCGAAACGCTTTGCGTAATAGTGGCTTTAGGCATTGTATGTACTAGCTCTACCTATAAGTCAAACAATCCTTGTAAATATTTATTGTATGTATGTACCTTACCTAAATAAAATTGTATTGTTATTGTATTGTATTGTATTGTATTGTATTAAATACTATGGTGACATTTGCATATGTTCAATCTATGCAAATGTCAAATTGCAAATGTACAACAGTATACGAGAGGCTAAAGCCTTACCTGCTTGGGACGGTCAATTTGTACATGTGACTTTTATCCTTCAGTACAAATACACATCGTACACAAGACGATATGCCAACGTATTTTCAAACTTAACCTAACCTAGCTTAACACAACTAAACCTAACCTAACCCAACCAAACTGAGCCCAGTACAGCCTAGCCTGAGGTAATACAGCCTAGCATAAGGTTTCCTAAGGATACAAGTCACTTCGTACAGAAGATGGATCGAGCACTGGGTATGGTCTTTTTGGACAGGAGTCGATTTGATGAAGCTCGTTTTCTCTTTGTTAAAACTGTGTATATTAAGTAATGGTAATGACTTCTCATAGACATATTAACATAGGATAAAACCCCACACGTGTGTATTGTGAAATTTATGTAAAGAATTTACACAGTCTTTGGCATTCTCCTAAGTGCTTTGTCAAGGTCTATGTATGTGATTAGGACGAGACTTAACATCTTGATGTCTAATCAATTAGAAGATTAGAGACATACGATAATTGATTAAATGTTAAGATGTAAGTCTAGTCCTAATCACATAATCAGACCTTGAAAAAGCACTTGGGAGAGTGCGAAAGATTTGGAGTAAATTCTTTATCAATTTCAAAAATACACAAATGTGGGTTTTTATCCACTGTATATATATTGTTATGCTAGGATGTATTAGCATACGTTAGGCTGTATTGGGCTCGGTTGTTAGGTTAGGTTGGGTTAAGCTAGGTTAGGTAGGTTTCAGAATCCATTGGCGAATTGTCTTGTGTACAATGTGACATGTATCCATCTCGCACAGATATTTCTACCAATTTGGATACAAAATTTGTACGTTTCATATACAGTATGTGTGATTGGTCAATATTAAAACATCAATATACTGTAATTAATTGAAAGCTAACCAAACCCTATAATAATAATCAAGAATACCTTTGACATTAGGAGAAGGTAGTCATTCATTTGTACAAGTCTCTGGTGTGTCCCCTCCTGGGGGCACACCAGAGACCATGCATGGAGACCTCATCTTCAGAAAGACATAGTTTCATTGGAGAGAGAGTAACACTGGGCATCAAAAATAATTCCAGAACTAAGTCAACTTTCATACCAGGACAGGTTGAGGGCCACAAAGCTAACAACACTTTAAACCAGTCATGATAGGGATGATCTCATTGAAATGTTCAAAATACTGAACAATTTGGAGGATGTTGATCCTGACAACTTTTTCGAAAGGTCAGATGTAAAGCAGACAAGGAGTAACGGTTTCAAGCTCAACAAGCCAAGGTGAAGACTGAAAACAGATGCTTTTTCACCTTCAGGATTATAAACCCATTGTGTAACTTGTGTAACTGATAGACAGATGAGGGCAGTAAACAGAGACAATGTATATGATTGGAGGAGTGTTACTAGCAGAGTACCACAGGGTTCAGTTCTTGCACCAGTACTGTATTGTTCATTGTCTACATAAAAGATCTAACAGAAGAAATACAAAATTATATGAACATGTTTGGGAATGATGCCAAGATACTGGGGAAGATAGGAGATGCAGATGATTGTCATGCCCTTCAAATTGATCTAGATAAAATAAGTGCTATTAGTGTCAAGTGGCAAATGGAGTTCAATGTTAATAAGTGTCATGTTATGTAATGAGGAATCGCAGAAAATAGACCACACACAACTTACAAATTACAATGTGGCAAGGAATTAAAGAAGTCTAATAAAGAACTAGATCTAGGGGTGGTTTTGAATAGTAAACTGTCACCAGAGGAACACACAAATAACATTGTGAGAGGAGTGTATGCATCACTTTCTGACTTCACACATTGTTTTAATTATTTGGATGGTGAAATGTTGTATGGGGCCTATTTTTAAAGAAGTACTATTACCTAAATAAACTGGAAAAGGTGCAAAGGCATGCTACAAAATGGCTTAAAGAACTGTAAAACAAGAGTTTCGAGGAGAGACTAAAGGTGTTAAACATGCCAAAACTAGAAGACAGAGGTGATGTGATCACCATTTACAAAATACTAACAGGAATTAAGGAATTAACCAAATTGACAGAGGAATTCCTGAAACCAGCAACTTCAGTAACAAGAGGATACAAGTTCAAGCTAAGGAAACAAAAGTGCCGAAACAATATTAGAAAGTTTTCTTTTTCAAACAGAGCGGTAGACGTGGGAGTGGTCCCGCGGTGGTGGGAGCCACCGCGGGAGCACGTGGTTTCTGTATCTTGGTTTTCATTCTCTGCAATTTTGTTATGTCAATTCTCAATTCTCATCCTAGGTCTTTCATTTTGGTATCAATATGTTGGCAACAGAATTCCCTACAGGAGTATATGCATATAAACCACGGCGTACCACGCGCAGCAAACAGAGATAGTGACATCGCGTTACCCGTGAGCACTCGAGCAATAAAATGTGTATACTCTTTTTCAACTTTGTTACCTCATTTCTCGTCCTAGGTCTTTCATTTTGGTGTCAATGTGTTCGCAGTGAAACGCATTGCATTAAAATGTTTCATTGTCCTTCTGTCCTTCTTTGTTCTGACTAAGGAATTCCTTACAAGAGTATACTGTACCTGTATGCATATAATGTCCAAAACTGTGGCTCATCCCACCCGCAGCCAAGCCGAAAGCAGGCCAAATTTTTAAATTTTTGACACCATACTGCGTCAATTCCGCACATTTGTCTACTATATTTTTGGCGCCATACCGAGTCATCAACGAGCGAACGTTAAGTGAGAAGGTGGTGGAGGCCAAAACCGTTGGTAGTTTCAAAACATCATACAACAGAGAGTACTGGGAAGATGGGACACCACGAGCATAGCTCTCCTCGTGTAATTGCACACAATTTAGTTTTTTGTTTTTATTATACACCTGTGACTTGGCTCAGTTTAAAGGTAGATACCATTACTATATTGTAAATTGTTTAAAATATAACACTTTATAAAATTTCCTATATTTTCCTTTTATCCTATTCTTTGAGGTTACCTTTACCTATTCCTCATTTATAAACCTTTCTGTGATTAGTATTGTACATAATGGTAGAAGTAGAAAACCTGTAGCTTGTAGAAGGTCCCTTCCTTTCATCCTGATGTATTGACCGAGTTTAGTATATACACGCAATTATCATCCATGCAGTGCTGTCAAGAGCTTGTCAGTAGTACATTTCATTAAATGACTAAGTATAGTATTAACCTGTAGTAAAGTTGGCATCATTCTCGACTCATTCGGGGATCTCTGGTTTTATTTCTGGGCGGGACAGAATGGTTGGGCATATTTTCATACACCTAATGCCTCTTTTCACCTAGCAGTAAATAGGTACTCTAAAGTTGGGCAACTGTTGTGGGGCGCATCCTGAGGAAGGTTAGTAGTAGTGACCTTTGGAGACCTTGATACGAATTTAAAATATACTGTATAGGCCTGTACTGTATATAGGCTTCCTATCCCTGACAAAATGACTCGGTCAGATTAATCCCTTTTGGATCTGATCGGTAACTGGATAGGTAACAACAGATAGCCATATTTTTTGGTCCAGAATGTTTCCTATCTCTAACAGTGCAATACCATATAACTACTGTACGTGTATTTATATGTGCAGTGGCTAGAGAGAGAGAGAGAGAGAGTGTATATATTTTTTGTAACATTATCTCTTATTTGCAGAGTCACTTCTCTCATCATCAAACATTCAGGTGATCAAACTGAAACATCCACGCAATACGTCTGCAATGTATATCTTTGATGAGGATAACAAAAGAATATATGATATGGTTGCTTTTGATGAAGGTCACAGGTACGTGCTATTTGATGATTAACTACTAAGGTGCAGTTTAATTAGTCATTTAGATTAGGACAAGATTGTTGTGGCTTTGGTTATTATTAGGAACAGTATACGTGCACTCTAGGAGGGATGCCTTATGGTTTTACCAAATTTTTTCATTTAGGTTCTGGAATTAGCATCGATTTAAAGCATCTAATTATAAATTATAGTTATTTAGTAGATGATGAATTGCAATAACATGGCTGAACAAATGTTAACCAAACCACACACACTAGAAGATGAAGAGACGACGACGTTTCGGTCTGTCCTGGACCATTATAAAGTCGATTGTGATGAGACGAGGAATGTCGATTGTGATGTTGTCACGTTTATTAAAAAGTTTAGAACTTTCCAACAAACGTGATCTAACATACTCCTACCCTTACTTATTTCTCATTCTTTTTCTTTTTCTTACATAGCCCATTCTTACTCCTCTTATTACCCCCTTGCATCCTTTGTTACACCCATCCCTTCTGCACGTTTTGCCTTGCTCTTACCTTCCTATAAGATTTCCTCCTCCTCTCCCCTCTTGCCTTACTTAATGCCCGTGCCTCCCTCGTCTCATCACAATCGCCTTGATAATGGTCCAGGACGGACCTAAATGTCATTGTCTCATCTTCTAGTGTGTGGTTTGGTCGACATTATGGTTATTAATCCACTTTGCTGCAGCTCCCCGGTGTTGGCCCTGTTGTTATATTGGCTCAAAACTAATATTTTTCTGCTTGCTGCCTGTTGGGTCTGTAACAACATCCTATGATTCAGGATCATTTGATCCTGAGTCATGGGGGGGGGGGAAACTGGTTTCCTTCCTGTTACTCTCCTTCTGGCCCACCTGTGTGGTTTGGGCTCTTCGGGTAGCGACCGCTTGCATCTTTGGTTTTCAGTTGGCAGCAGTCAGGGTTTTGTTCTCGATCAGATGCCCCAGAGCTACCCCGGCTGGTTTTAGAGTCCTGGAATGTTAGGTGTTGGGGAGGAGGTCTCCCTTGGTTCTGTCCTTGCCTCCTTTTTCTTCCCCTTTGGGTTTTGTTCACCCTTCCCTTTTCCCCGTATGAGGATTTTGAGGGTGGAGGGCGGATTTTTAATTCGGGATGTGGCTTGGTTAGCTCTGGGGATTGCCCCCCTTCTGATTCCTGCCTGGAGGTGGTTGAGCCTCTTGGTCCTGCTGAGGCTTCTGGGTGCTCCTTTACACTTGGTCAAATAAAAAACTGTAGAGGAAATAAAGGATACAATATTGCGGCCAGCCCTCCTTTGATGCCTCTCCCTTGGACTCTGCTTCTCTATCTTGGGCAGTGGGCATTGGATGTTAGCTCTGCACTAGGGGGCCCTCTGGCAGCAGTTCCTGGGGCTTGTGGAGAGTAAATTTGGGGTTCTTTGGTCCCTTTTTGACTCTCCATGGCCATTTGTATCTTCTGTGGCGGGTCTTTGGTTGCAGGGAAGGGATGGTTTTGTTCCCCCCCCTCTCCTTGTTTGTTCCCAGTTAGGTGTGGATTCCCTCCTGGGTTTGGTCCCACAGGCATTGAGCCTATTGGTGTCAGTGCCCTGCACGTACTTGCGTTTGGCCTTTGTGTTCTGCTTTAATATTTGTTGGGCATATCTAGGCCTCTTTGATCTGCTTTCTGCTTGCTCTTTGAGGTCATGGAGGCACGTGGCAGGGGGGACCTCTGGTGAAGGTTTTAGCATCTGCTTTGGCTGAATTCCATGCTGTTATTTCCCGTACTTGTGGTAGCCATTTCCTTGCCATTCGACTTCCAGGTTACTTGACTGGTTTGGCCTTGTTCTCTGGTTTGATATTGACCCTGGCTCTTGCATCTGCCTCCTTCTTTCTTTTCCTCAGTGTTGGTCCACAGTTTCTCCTTATGTGTCTGTGGATTCTCTGCCTTTTTGAGGCGTCTATCCTCGAGGCCCCATTCTCATTTCTGTGCCGGTTGGTCTGGGCTGCAATATCGCCTGTTGTGAGTTGGGGTAGGCCTTCTGGGGTGTCAGATGCCGGATTTCTGGTGTTCCTGGCCCAAATGTCTGATTGGTTCTGAGCTCGTTCTCTTCTGTGGGCCGCCTCTCTTCCATTCATGCCAGCTATTTTCCCCTACCCTTGATGGTTGGGGATGGCTCTCCCTGTTTTCCTTATTCTGCATTTGTTGGCTTTTCATTATTTTGCATTGCAGTCCCTGTGTTTTGTTGGTGCCCCCTTCCCTTGTTTGGAGGTACCAGGCATTCCAGGCAGGCTGCCTCTTTTACCCTGTTTGGGTCACCTTGATGTAGGTTTTCCCAGTGTTGGCCGTGATGTTGTCTTTTTGGTGGGTTTTCCCACTTCCTGGTTCTGTCCTAGAGCCCTCTGGTCTTTACTCTTCATGGCTGTCCTAGTTTTTCATTTGCCCTGTCTGGTGGCCTGCATTGTCTGCGGTCAGTCTCCTGTTTGGGTTGGCCTCTTGGTGTTTCCCTGGATCTCTGGGATGCATTCCAGCACATCCCATTTTTGTTTTGGGTCTGGCACTTTTTGGGTTAGGTGTCTGTCTTGCCTCTGGGACTCTTTCACATTTGGCCTCATCTGATTCCCTGCGTGTTAACATGCTTGGCTTGTGTCGTGTTTTGGCGTACCTTGATGGCTGGTTGGAGTGGGCTCCCAGCCGGTGTGTGTCTGCTGGCCAGTTTTTTTTTTTTCTGGGTTGCCATAATCTGGTTCCTGCTGTGCTGTTGGTAATCCCTGTTGCTTTTGTCCTGGTTTGGCCTTGTATGAGCCTTTGTTTTGATTTCAGTTGGTGCCTCCCTGTCCTTGCACTGGCTGTTGTGGGTGTTGGGTTGACTCTGGGTGTCTCAGTGGTTGGCTGGGGGGCTTGTGCATGTGCTTTCTTCTATGTGGGCATTGCTGGCGCTATATTTGTTCAGGATGGGCTATGTTGGTCCTTGCAGGAGCTGTCACTGGCTTCCTTGCATTTTTGGGGTCTTCCTGGTTGCCTTCCACAACCCTGTGTGGCACAGGTTTTAGTTGTGTTGTACAGGGGGGAAGTGCATTGCCTCTGTGTTTCGGGTCCCCTCTGGGGAAGGCGGTTTCATTGCTCTCTGCCTCCTAAAGGCTGGGTACTGTGTCTGGCCTCTGCTGAACTCTAGTGGTTTGGCTATCTATGGTGTTCATTTTCTGATGGGGATGTGCCGTCTTCGTGGTCAGTTTTCCTGTTTCTTCCTGTTCCTGGGTTTACCTTCTGGGCCTTCTCCTTCCTGTGGTTTTGGTCCTCCCCTTTTACTTTGCTCTGCTTTCCATTGCGAGGCTCTTGTATGGGTGGTTTTGGCTGGTCCCTTTGGGGGAACAGGTTCCCTTCCCCTTATCCCAAGGGAGTCGGCTGACCTTTGCTTTTGTTCCTTGTCAGATTGGGGTCTGCCTTGAGTGTGTTCCAGACTTCTGGTGACTGGTCAGCCTTAGTTTGGCACTGCTTCTCGGTTCCAAATCTGGGTTTTCTCCATTGCTCCACCTCTCGGGCCGGTGTTGGTCTTTGCTGGCCTGTCATTCTCCACTACTCACATCTGGGATTTTGATACATTCTTGTCATTGTTATTGTGATGGGATGGTGGCTTCCTGAAAGGTGTTCCGCCTGCGGTTCTTTGCAGTGACTGTGCGATTTGTGGTGGTATTTTTGTCACATGCTTTCTCTTCCTTGTGGTTCTTCGGTGTTTGACCACAGGCTGCCCTTCTTTATCTTCTCTGTTCTTGGTCGGCATTGTCTGCTAGGTACTGTTGCCTCTTAACGTAATTACCTAAGTGTAGTTACAGGGTGAGAGCTACGCTCGTGGTGTCCCGTCTTCCCAGCACGCTTTGTTACATAACGCTTTGAAACTACTGATGGTCTTGGCCTCCACCACCTTCTCATCTAACTTGTTCCAACCGTCTACCACTCTGTTTGCGAAAGTGAATTTTCTTATATTTCTTCGGCATCTGTGTTTAGCTAGTTTAAATCTATGACCTCTTGTTCTTGAAGTTCCAGGTCTTGGTAAATCTTCCCCATTGATTTTATCAATTCCTGTTACTATTTTGTACGTAGTGATCATATCACCTCTTTTTCTTCTGTCTTCTAGTTTTGGCATACAGTATTTAATGCCTCTAACCTCTCCTTGTAGCTCTTACCCTTGAGTTCTGGGAGCCACTTAGTAGCATGTCTTTGCACCTTTTCCAGTTTGTTGATGTGCTTTTTAAGATATGGGCACCGCACAACTGTTGCATATTCTAGCTTTGGCCTAGCAAAAGTCTTGAACAATTTCTTTATTTCCCCATCCATGTACAGTATTTAAAAGCAATTCTGAAGTTGGAAAGCATGGCATAGGCTCCTCGCACAACGTTCTTTATGGGGTCCTCAGGTGATAGTTTTCTATCGAGAACCACCCTTAGATATCTTTATCAGAGTTCATTAAAGATTTCTCACATAATTTATAGGTTGTGTGGGGTCTATGTTCTCCTATTCCACATTCCATAACATGGCATTTATTAACATTAAATTCCATTTGCCAAGTGGTGCTCCATATACTTATTTTGTCCAGGTTTTCTTGAAGGGCATGACAATCATCTAAGTTTCTTATCCTTCTTATTATCTTAGCATCATCAGCAAACATGTTCATATAATTCTGTATACCAACTGGTAGATCATTTATGTAGACAATAAACATCACTGGTGCAAGAACTGAACCCTGTGGTACTCCACTTATGACATTTCTCCAGTCCGATACATTGCCTCTGATTACTGCCTTCATTTTTCTATCAGTCAGAAAATTTTTCATCCATGCTAGAAGCTTACCTGTCACCCCTATAATATTTTCCAGTTTCCAGAACAACCTCTTATGTGGAACTGTCAAAAGCCTTTTTTAGGTCCAGATATATGCAGTCAACCCAACCATCTCTCCTGTAAAATCTCTGTGGCTCTATCATAGAAACTGAGTAAATTCGATACACAGGATCTTCCAGATCGAAAACCATACTGTCTGTCTGATAT